GGGGAAACTGGGTGAAGGGTCGGCGCGCCGCCGAGCAGGCGCTGATCACGCTTTGTTCACATGCCCCCTCCTCCGCCTCCCCCCCCTCCTTTGGGGGCCGCGCCTCGATGAGCGTCGGCCAATAGGCGCCGGCGCGGCGCGGCTGAGCCAATAGGAGGAGAGCGGGGGCGGGCGGGCGGCGGGGTGCGCTGAGGTGAGGGTGGCGCGCGCCCAACGGCCGCGCCCGCCCCCGTTTCTCCTCCTCAGGCTGGGACTGTCGGTGATGGCGGGGGGGGCTGTTCTCCTGCCGGGGCTCCTTAAAAAGATGCGTCTCACTCGTGACTGGGGAGGCGGCGGCTTCCAGAAAGGAGGCTTTTCCACCCACACCATCGTGGGTGGGGCGAGGCGGGGGGGGCGGAATTCTTTGCCAGCGGCGGGCAGCATCCCTCAGAAACGGAAAGCTGCGTTGGGGTGATGGCAGAACACAGGGCGTAGGAGGCTTTCTGTGTGGGTCGGTGCCGTGTGGTGATCAGTCAGATAGTGAATATACATATATTTCAGTTGTCCAAGCTGGTGATTTTTCTCTCATGTATGTGAGAGGGACTTTTTGAGTATTTTCTGGAACACTTTTGGTAGCTTATACCTTTTGAAGAAAATGCACATTAGTCCCCATACGGTTCGTTCTCGTGTATCAAAATAAGCACAATACCCAGGGCTGTGTTTAAAGCAAAAATGCAAGGAGGGTGGGATGGGGGAGGAAGTCTTGTTTTCCTTTTTTTTTTTTTTTTGAGGGAGGATTTTCGTTATGTTTTCAGCCACAGCAATTGCAATATGGAGTAACTTAAATTGTTGCTTAAGATTTGGAGGGACAAAATTTTCTTTTGTCTCAAGAAAATATAAAATCTTTACCAGATGGCCAGACTTCCCCACTAACAGCTTCATAAAAATGTTATATGAATAAACAGGGTAGGAAAACACAGGCATGCCCTTCCACATGACCAAGCGTATTTATCTTGCACGGGTTGCTTTGTTTGGTTTTTATGATGCCTTATTATAACAAGCTTCAAAATACTCAAACTTAGCATTAGGCTCAAAGTGTCCTCTTTTTTTTCCTCTCCAAGAAACAGAAGGAAGAAATGGAGGTGATGACTGAGAAACAGAGAGATACTAGGTATTTCTGGAACAATACTCCTGAAAAAAGCGATTATGAGGCTGTCGAAGCCCTTATTTCTATGAGTTGCAACTGGAAATCGGACTTCAAAAAACATGCAGAAATGAGACCTATAACTCCAGCCTCTGATATGTCGGAAGAGAGTGATGAGACTTTGCTTCCTGGAGCAGCCGACTTTAATGCGATACCAGCATTTGTAAGTTTTTTGAATTTGTACACGTGCATGCTTGTTCTTAATAATCAGTGCAGCGGTGATGTGTTGGTAACGAGCCCCTCCCTTACTGTGTCTCTCTCCCCACGCAGTGCCTGACGCCCCCCTACAGCCCTTCTGACCTGGAGATGTCGCAGGTGGTCCATCCTGGGGCACCCGCACCCGCTGCAGCGCTCGGCAAGTGGCTGGCAGAGTCTGCCAAGCCTCCGGCTGCCCCGCGGAGAGAGACGGAGAGGCCTCCAGCTGCGGGGCCTCCGAAAGCTCAAGCGACCAGTGTCATCCGCCACACGGCTGATGCCCAGCTTTGTAATCACAAAACCTGCCCGGTGAGAATGGCCAGTGTGCTGAAGTACCAGGACAGTGTTTCGAGGGAAACAGCCAGTAAACAAAAGGCTGAAGCAGAACCTGCAGCGTGTTCCGCTGCGCTGCCGAGCAGGGCCAGTGAGGCGAGCAGTGAACTCCCAGTGGGAGCAGGAAAAGCCACAGAACCTTCTGGAAGCCTAGTGCCCTTGGCAAAGCCCTCGGTCAGCAGGCATCAACCCGTTCCTGGCTCGGCGGGGGTGTCACCGCCGTGCCCCACGCAAGGCAGTGGAGCCCCCCCTGTGCCAGTGATTTGCCAGATGGTCCCTCTGCCCGCAAACAACAATGTTGTGACAGCCGTAGTGCCCAACACCACGCCGAGCCAGCAGCCAGCTCTCTGTCAGCCCATGGTCTTCATGGGCACCCAGGTCCCCAAAGGTGCTGTGATGTTCGTCGTGCCCCAGCCGGTTGTGCAGAGCACAAAGGCTCCCATTATTAGTCCGAATGGCACGAGACTCTCTCCCATTGCCCCTGCTCCTGGCTTCGTACCTTCTGCGGCAAAAACCACTCCTCCGGTCGATTCTTCAAGAATAAGGAGTCACATCTGCAGCTACCCGGGATGTGGGAAGACGTACTTCAAGAGCTCCCACTTGAAGGCTCACGTCAGAACACACACAGGTTGGTCACGGTTGCTGGATGTTAAAAATTAATGTAGAAAATTGCAGCCGTATCCACAACGTGTTAAGGTTCTAGAGATTACCGGATTTGTTCATGGAACAAATTGCGGGGCAGTAATGAGGTGCTTTTTTTTGCCAGCGTGCATTATAACGCTGCCTAATCTCTGACAGGAAATCTCCCGGAGGGGAAGTTGACTCAGCAGTTTGTTTGTGCTGGACTTGCTTCATGGCAGCAGGCCTTCAGTAGGGCTTCTTACCAGCGGGGAGGCAAGGCCTCGCCCAGCCTACAGTGTGCTTTTCCAGAGTTAAAGGCACCTCACTGGGCTCCTCCATGGGAATGCCTTTGTCAGGAGGGGCAAAACTTAAGAGATTCTTTTATGATAGAATATTAAGGATCCACTCCAAGCTGTTCCTGCCTTGGTTATTTTAGAGTAACTTCTCCAGAGCTCTGTTACATAAAACATTACTACTGGTTGCCTTTCAGGGGTAGTTTTGGGCACGTGAAGTCGTTCATGTGGGGCAGGGAGTTAAAATCAGCTGTCTGAGACGTAAAGAGCATCTCAAACTACTTGGTTTGAGGGAATTGTTAACCCTTGGGTACTAATTAGCCTTCATGATAGTGAGTCTGCATGTTTAAATGTTGATATATAAACATTTTTTCATATATATATATATACATATATATATAATGAATATGTATGTTTTGGCTCAGCTGTCTTAACAAACTTTTCTTTAAAAAAAAAAGTCAAATCCTGCCAGCCAAGGCAGTAGTGTTTGTTGCTCAGTTGATACTCATGGGGGTTTTTTTTGTCTATTTTTTTTTTTCCCCTTTTAGGAGAGAAGCCGTTCAGTTGTAGTTGGAAAGGCTGCGAGAGAAGGTTTGCGCGGTCTGATGAACTGTCTCGCCATCGCAGGACGCACACCGGGGAGAAGAAGTTTGCCTGCCCGATGTGCGAGCGGCGGTTCATGAGGAGTGACCACTTAACGAAGCATGCCCGTCGCCACTTGTCGGCCAAGAAGTTACCCAACTGGCAAATGGAAGTGAGCAAGTTAAACGATATCGCCGTGCCGCCAGCGGCCGCGCAGTGAGAGGACTGAACTCTGAAGACGGTGGAATTAACTGTTGCCGCTGGGATCTGCCAGCTAAAACCAGGCTTTTGCTCCCGGCCCGTGGTTCTCCCGCGCCGGCTGCTGATGGAGATGCAGCAGAGGGGGCAAAGGCAGCCTGTGCTCGGCCACAACAAATGTTGCTGGGAGAACTGGTGGCTGACTGGAATAGCGGGTGTCTTTTGCACTGGTAAGGAGAGAGGGAGAGAGAGAGAGGGGGGAGGTTCTAGAGCAGAGCAGCACACGTTGTGGAAATTTTGAATTTTGCAAATTACTCGTATATACTCTAGATCAGTCACGCGTTAAGTGTTGCTGAGGGTTTGCCGCTGACGCTTGAGACCAGCGCCCATTGTAACTTTCAGTTGTCAATCTTCGGTGCAGTGCGGGAAGACGGGATGTACAGGCGGAGCCCTGAAAGCCCAGAACACACCTGTGTAAGATAATCTAAATCAGTTTTCCTACTGCTGCTGTGTTTCTTGGTAGGAATCCTTTCCTCCTATCCATTCTCCAGCCCCGTCACAGGCGATAGTTTGGTGCCAAACTCGTGGAGATTTTGGAGCCATCCCCCAGTGTGGGGTGTTTAACACACCCAGCTTTATAGCGCTGTTGCTGGGGGGCAGCGGGAGGGTAGGAAGGTTTCTGAATCCTCATTAGCTTTGTAATATTTTCTCAGCTGCTTTGGCAAGCCTTGTGATTATCACAGCTGCTCCTACCTGGGCGTTGGAGCGTGCTTCTGCTTTTGTGGTGCTTACGGTTCCTTTTCTACCTTCTGGCGGTTCCGTACCACTGCGTCCCTCGGAAAGGGATACAGCGCACTTTGGAGAGAAACATTGCAACTGTAAACTGCTCGGGGTTGATTCGGGGAGAAAACCAAGGATCTTGGGCTTCTCGATCGTGTTTTTTGGTGAATGACAGTTTATACTAAAAATGAAATGGATATATTATGTATTGTTTTAAATTAGAAAGTTGTGATTCGAAAAGTAAAATAAGGCAGTAAAGACACCGGCCTAGAACTTAAACTGTAGCTTTTGTGACAAATAATGCATCAACTTTCACTATTTCTATTTTATCATATAATGTTGAGGGCACGCATCAGAAAGCAAAGGGTTTGAAAATAGTGTATTAGATACGCTTTTTGTGACTACTTTAAAGATTTGCACATTTCTTATGTTGTACTTTATACTTTGTTTACAATAAAACAGATTTTCTTTAATATAGACGTCTCTCTTTTTGTTGTTTTTATTTATTTACTTTTTAAAATTCATGGCAGAACTTCTCTCTTGGCCAGGAAAAAAAACCTCAAACCAAAGGTAGTGTCTGTGGTTGTGTGTCCCTGAGGGGGCCAGCGGAGATGCCCTGCTGGCACAGGGAAGGGTGCCGGGGTGGGTTCCTCTGCCTTCTGCTGCCACCACCTCGCAGGGGACAGCCACTGTGGCCCCTTGGTGCTGCTGGCGGGGGCTGTTCCACCTCCTTTTCTGCCCCCGGGGATCCCCAGACTTCCCCCTGCGCGGCCGCTGACTCGCTGCCCAGCCCCGCGGGGTGTTTTTGGGGCCGGGCCGCTCCTTACCTTATCCTGTGTGACGCAGGGCCACGCCGAGGGAAAACCTGAGTCATCGCCCTTTCCTCCCGCTCCGGGAGGCAACGCGCCGCCGGAGCCCAACGCCAAAGCCAGGCTTCCCCAGGAGCCCGAGTCCTGCTCCCCCGTCTCCTTTCCAGGTATTTTACCTTTTTATGGGCATGAGATAAAACCCTGTGACAGTGCTGGGGCTGGAACCCACATCTGCTGGGAGGCTGGGCCCCCTCACTGGCACTGAATCCAGCCCTGTGTAAGGGAGATGTAAAGGAAGTGCCACCCCCGTGGTTGCCCTGCCAGGCCAGGCTCTCCTCCCCAGTGTGGGTCGTGGGCTTCCAACCCCTCTAGCTCAGTGGGGAGCTGAACTTCAGCCTGCCTTCCCAGGCGAGTGTCTCGTCCTGCCGTGCCACTGAAGGGCAAGAAAAGGGAGTTCCTGTGCCATGGCCCTCTCCCCTGCCTGAAAAAATCAGCAGCTGGTGGTTTTTGTGTGGGATGCAGCTCTGGAGGGGGGAGCAGAGCTGAGCTGAGAGCACCTGCTTTGGGGGCTGCAGGGGAAAGCCTGTTTCTGGTGTTGCTGTGAGCTAAATAAAACACAGCTTCTCACTCTAAAGACAGAATCGAGCAGTGAGAGGTGCCCTTACAGAGTTATAGAATCACAGAATGGTTTGGGTTGGAAGGGACCTCAAAGATCACCCACTTCCAACCCCCTGCCATGGGCAGGGACACCTCCCACCAGAGCAGCTTGCTCAAAGCCCCATCCAGCCTGGCCTTGAACACCTCCAGGGATGGGGCAGCCACAGCTTCTCTGGGCAACCTGTCCCAGTGTCTCACCACCCTCCCTTCTGACTGGTTCCAGCCCGAAGGCAGGGCAGTAATTGTGAATTTACCTCACATGCTGTTTTTTAAAGCTTAACAGTGGAAGCCAACTGGCCATGAAGCCAGCCATTCAGGGGTTTCGTTCCCAGTCTAACCTGAAAAATGGTGTGGAACGGCCATGATTAGGCACCTTTTCAGTGCTGACCTCACTGTGCAATCAGGGCTGGTTGCACAGGGGGAAACTGTGTGTATTTTCTACAGACTGAGGCAGGGGGAGGTGGGGGCCCGGGGGGGTGCCTGTCTGCCCCAGGGGGAGCACAGACACCTCCCTCCTGCCCCAGGGGGAGCAGCAGGGCCGAGCCAGAGGTGTCGGGGGGCTCAGGGTCTGGTTATCCCAGCCCCGCCTAAACCAGAAGGGCTGGGGGGATAAGGGGCCTGCGGTGCCGGGGCACCCTGCACGTACCCCGAGTGTGCCTTTGCCAGTGCTCGGGGGATTTTAAATCTCTTTGGCAAGGACAGAGAGAAGGCTGGAAAAGGCCAGCGTTTTCCCTTGTGGTTTGGAGAAGAATAATTTCCATTACAGAGGGAGTATTTGTGGGAGGCTCAGATGCTCCACGAGTGAACTAATGCGCCTTTTAAAAGAAGAGGGGTCCTGAGCTGGGGCAGCATGTCTGGAGCCACAGACACGGCCGAGATGAGAACCAGGGCAGCCCGTCTGCCCCTCCTGCCTGGGGAGCTTGGCTTTCTGAGGTTTTTTTTTCCCTCCTGAGCTTCACCATCTGGTGGTGCTATTTCAAGACGACCTTCACCAGCGGGTGCTGTGGTCCTGGCAGAGGGTGGGTACAGTGGGGGGCACAGTGCAGACGTGGGACGTGCCCCGGAGCTGAGAGGAAGGGCTTTGCCATCGGCTGGCCTGAGACTTGCAGAGGCGTCAGGTATTCCCCTGGCAGCTCCCCGCTTTTACTGTAAGGAGGTGATTCATTTGTCTGCTTTGGCAACAAACCGAGATCACCAAGGAAACCCTCGCAAGCTGTCAGAAAAGTTAGCAGCACAAAATCAGGTCAGGAGAAATGATGAATGAATGAATCCGTGTGGCACGGGCTCAGCCTCCCTGTTCTGGACCACAGATTTTCTGCAGAAATCTTTGTTTCTCCTGGAGCACGTGGTCAGGGGGGTAATATTCAGCTAAAACAGATGTTTTTGGAATATGTCTTACCATGTATTGGAGTGTGAAACACAGAGCTTCCATGTCTTTTCTAGGGTTATGGGGATCTGGAACGCTTTCTGTTGTCACCAAGAGAAAACGTGGTCCTTTAGCAATAAGAAAACAAGAGCACAACCCATCTTTAGCCATCTCATATATTCAGGAGAAGACTAAACTAGCTGCATTGTGACATAAATCAGGTGATAATCGTATAAAATGCATTAAATAATTCAAAAGCTTTGTTAGGATATCACCATTTTGATGAAACTTTATACTTGCTTGTGTATTCTGGTCTGAAAGTTAAAGCAATTGCTTTAACACTTCTGCTTGGGAAACAGAGCTTTTAAGGTTTAATCGCCTGGTAGGCAGCTGGAAAGTCCAACCCCCACCTCCCCAGAATGAAAAGAGAAAGAGAGTATGGGATGCAACCTGAGTGGAATTAAAGAAAATATAGAGAGTACCTTAATGGCCTAAAATGCAGGGTGGTCAAAACGTTGGTGAAACCCTCAGCCAGCAAACATTAAAGCAACTCCCACAACCACCCATCAGCCACCAGGTAACATCCTCAGTCACCGCAGTCACTAGATAGAGATAGATAGAACCTGCAGCATCGCACCAGAGCGGAGCAGCCATCTTCACACAAGGGATGCAATCAGCTTAATGAAGATGTAGTTCTTGATCAGCTGCAATCAGTATTCATCAGGTTAATTCCGACAAAGGGGGCAGTGGAGCAGCTCAAGCCTCACGTTGGAGCCGTGCCACTGCCCAGCCACATACCTCGCTGACCCTGACCCATGGGCTCCCCATCCCCACCGGCATTGGTGCTCACTGAGCCCCCAGCCCTGCTCGGCAGTGATCCCAAACTTGGGTCTGTTCTTCTCACAAAGCCTGTGAGATGTCAGTGTCTCTGGGACCTCACCTCCTCGCTCGGCTGTGGCTGAGGTGACTCATGAGCTTCCCACGCTGCCAGCAAAGCTGGGGGGGCTCAGGAGGCCAATGTGGTCACCTCCATCTCCTTCTGCCAGGAAACCACACAAGAGTCTTGCCGTTTTCTGAGATAAAGGGGAAACTGTGGGAGCCCTGTGAAGTTCTCAGGGCAGTACAGGGGACAAAAATACCTGCCACTGACCTAAAGAGGAGAAAGAAATTGTGACCATCTGGGAAGCAGAGAGGGTGGAAAGGACGAGCACTTACAGGTTAGCTGGCCTGGAGAGCATGGCTCGTGTCTCATACCCATGCATCCCAGCCATGGGGCAGCAGGAATTATTGCAAGTCTTTCTGTAGGAAAACATCCCAAGTGCTTAGTTGCTCATCTGCAGCTGGGGGGGGTCTTTTATATTATTTTGTTTTCGATTTATGCGAGAGATTTTCAATTCCCTATTTAAATGAAGCAACAAGTGTGATGAGTCGATGATGAGTCACCGGGCCAGGAAAAAGGCTGCAGGAAGGCTGGACTATTTATAAAATGTAAAAGAAAGAAAGGAAATACATTCTAGATGCAGATAGATCTGGAAAGTGACTCCAACTTCTTTTGTGGGATCACGTATTCCTGGGCACCGGGCAGCGAAGTTCCCAGGAAGGAGGGGGGAAGCGCTGGCGGGGCCTGGGTGCTTTTTTGGAAAGGATTCTTTGATGTTGCCCAGAGCAGCACGTGCTGTAGAGCTTTGCTGCTCTCTGAGGAACTCGGCCAAGCAGCCAGGCTCCCACTCCTTTATCGCCTTTGCTCCGGCTCCACGTGCCGGGAGGGGAGAGAAGGCAGCGGGGTGGGATGTGGAGGTGACATTGGGAAACACCTCCCCCCCAAAAAAAACTATTTGGCAAGAATTGTGAAGCCTTGTCATGGCTGGCAAGGGCTTTACGGAGCACGCGAACTGGCCTCGGTGGTCCCACCATCTGGAGGTACCACTGCCTGACCCTGGGCTGGGGCAGCAGAAACCAACAGAAGCTTCATCTCCACCAGACACTGCCAGAGCTGTCTCCAGGAGCATGTGCAAGCAACGTGCCTCCTCATACAGCAGACAACTGCATGTCTCCCTGGGTTTTGACAGTTAAATTCTGGATAATTGTAGCTGCTCTGGGATGCGGTTGGGTGGAGACAGAGGGAAGGACCCATTGCCATGAAGGCAAAACACACCTGAGGTCTTCAAAGTCCCACCTGCAAAACATGTTCAGTGTCTGTCGGATGGGGTTGGACCATGGCAGTCCCTGCAGCCCCAGGTCTTTCTGGTGGCCAACACAGCTTTGTCCTCATGTCCCTGCCCTGCCCTCACATTGTCCCTACTGGGTTAGAATCCAAAAGCCTGTCATGAAACTGTGTCATGGCACGGATAAACAGGTGCTTAGACAGGACACACGGGGTGGAGGGTGATGAGCTTTCTTTATCGCTTTAGACATGGATGATGTGCTGGTGGCTTGATTCTGCACTCGCAGTTCTCATCCAAGACATAGTTTGATGCTGATGTTCAGCACACGACCCAGCTTGTGGGATATCTGCACACCTAATGAGATTTAATGTGCTTAGGAGTTTATTTAGGCTCTAGTTTCATCAAGCACTGCATTGGGGGAAGACGGAGGATGGATCTTCAGTGTTTAAGTGATAATTTTCTCTTGGCTATGCAAGATGAAAAATGGTCAGTACTATTTGCACACCATCTCAGGCTTTGAATGGACAGCAGTTCAATGAGGAAATGAGTGGCAGCTCCTCAACTAAAGCATCTTTAATGAAATCACCCAAATCAGCATGTTTCTGGGGGAAATAAAAAGTGACGCCTCACTCGAGGAAAGTTAGTTTTGCTTGCTACAGTGAAGGGAGTTGGCTGCCTTTGTTACCCACAGCCTTTAAAAAAAAAAAAAAAAAAGGGGCACCCAATCTGTACATGCTTAAAGAATTGCTGGGATAAGTAGGTAACAAGAAAAGAAAAAGCAAAGCATTCCTGCGGGGCTATTTTGGTAGCTTTTACTACCACTATCAATGGAAACTTTGCAATGCAGTATTAACGGATTTAGTTTTGCAACCCTGGTGCTGGGAGGAGGGGAATTCTTGGCTTCGTCATGTCATATCTAAGAAATACAGGCCCTGCCTCCCGAAAGCCTTAAGCCTGTGTTCAAAGCCGCTCCAACACTGAAGCAAACTTTTAACTGTCCTCAAAGGGGGTGTTTTCTGGAATCACTTAAATAAAAGTAAGGAATCAATCTGCTTTATTTCTGTGTGTTGCTAATGTCATTGGTTGGCTTAAATAGGCTATAAAATGAACTGTTTTTTCTGCGTGAGTAGTGCCGTGGCGCTGCGCAGCCCACGGTGGGGGGGAACTCCCAGGAGAAGGCACTGCCTTATCCCACAGGGGCTTCACAGGCCTTGCTGGGTCTGGCGTCTTCTGACTCGGTTTCAGAAGTTATGACATTCTCTGCTTCACTTTGGTGCCAGGCGGGACAGCCTGTGGTGTTTAAGTCTGCTATTGGGAGACAAAGCTTGGTGTCAGTATCTGATGGGAGGTGATTTAGGGTTTTTTTTCTTCTGGATTCCCACCTGCCTGTCTTGAGCTCTGAGCCTTTGGTATCTTGATAGTCTGTGAAAGCTTCAGTTCTTCTTTCATTGGCAACTATGCTAGGCTTGCTTGGCCGAGCATTGCACTTTTGGAGGAGTGTCAGCAGGGCTGAGCATCACTTGGGTTCAAGGGCGTGGGGTGGTTTTCACTTCCCCTTCTTCTTCCTCCTCTCTCTTCTGGGTGCTGAGGGGCTGGGGAGGGGGGAGTCACGCTTTGTCCTCCCCACGCTGAGGCTCTGCACCAGCACAACCTCAGCAGTGGGGCTTGAGGAGGAGGAGAAGACCGGGCAGGGAGAGCTGAGGGAGCCACCCACCCCCTCACCCACCTGTGCTGGGGACCACAGCCAAGGCACGGCCTTGCCACTAATTACTGTAATTAATACCCATGTAACAGGAACTCTTTACAACCCTGAGCACTGATTGCAGCACTCACTGCAGGTTTGAAGCCACAGGACTCTCTCTTAATGTCACTAAAGTCAAATAAAATGTTGCTATTAATTAACTCTTTTGCCTTTTGGCCTGTTTTTCCCGGATAGTTTTTGTTTACACGCCGATCCTCTCCCTTCTCCCCACTCCTGCCTATTTCTTTCTCTCTTTAATGTTCATTGACCAAATTTAATTCCCCATCCTCTCCGCAGTCACCGCACCACTGTTTGAATTTGTCCCCAGCTCGGTGGGCACACTGTAGGAGAGGAAGAGGGATGCTCTGGTACTCTGGGTTGGATTCTGAAGTTTTCACAAACACTGGTATTTCCCATGGCAACAGCCCCCGTGGGGGACAGCACCCCACACAGACCTTGCTCTCACAGAAACGGATGTAGCTCTGCAGAGCCAGCTGCTTTCTAAGAAGATGCTTAATTGCCCATGAGATATGAAATGGGACCCCGGGCAGGGTGGGGGGAGCCCCAGCGGGTGCGCTGGGTACAACAAAACTAACCCCCAAAATTTAGTGGATGTGACCTGAAACTCTGCCCAAAATAAGACTTTGCAGCTTTTGCTAGGACAGCAGTTGGTGAAAAAGTCTCCTGCAGAAAGTCCCCCCTACTCCGGCACCCTTCTGGGTCCCACCAGACAGTGGGCACCCCCGCCTCCCAAAACCCAGACCAGAGGGTTTCAGACCCAGGCACTTGCTGCCTGGGATGTTGATGCATTGAACATAAGAGTTGTCCAAAGGAGGGGTTTTGGAGGCAGCCGGGGACGTGCCATCGTGGGAGCCAGCTGGACTCTCCCAGCTGCCGCTCTGGTTTGTCTCCCTGTTGGCCAGGGTTGGAAATTCAACCACGCCGTGCCGTTTTCATAACATCAGATTTCTAAGGAGACCTCGGAAAACCCTCCTCATCCTCAGGCCACAGGAAGAAAATTAAATCCATTTTATTCTTCCCCCTCACCACTTCCTTCAGACAAACAGTGGTGTTCCCACAGCTCTACCTTCCTGTCCTACCAGGGCTGGGACTGACTGAGCCAGCTTGCATTTCAGTGTTTCAGAAAAAAACCTATAGTAGTCCTCCTCCCCTCCCTCCTGCTTCTTTTTTTTTTTTTTTAAGAATATCCAAAATAGTTTATTCCTGATATTTTATTCTGGACAAGTACCTACGCAGCTGCTTGCTGAGAGGTTCCTGAAAGGGACAGCTTTTCTACATGATGGTGTAGGACACATGAAGTGTCTTCTAAGGCGTCGCAAACCTGCCTTTGCAGACGTAGCTTCAGGCAATTTGCTGTTTGTTTTTTTTAAAGTAGGGTTAAAAGAGACAGGCCATGTTTGTGTTAGCCACTGCTATGAACCTGGGGACCAGAGAATGAGCTCTTTGCCCTGGCAGATGCCGATGAGTTCAGGGCTGCCACTGTGGCTCCTTGCCAGCAGCAGTGACACCTCCCTGGCAGATCTTGGGTCCCCTCGCTGCCTTGTGGGCTTTGTCCCCAGCATAGCCCCTGTGCTTTGGGTCACACAGCGTGCCGTGGGGATGGGGAATGCTGACCCCCCACCGCGGTGTGGCACATGGAGTTAGTTCCAGGAGAAGGAGGTCCACAGGGAGCTTCTGGGGATGGGGACGTCGCGTGGGTGCTGGGGGTCTAACCATGGTGCAGGAGGCTTGCTGCAGGAGGAGGTCCCCGAGGTCCCCTCCAGGTCCCCGAGGAGTGCAGGGTACGGGGCAGGAGGGGATGTCTCCAGTCACACTGACATTTTGGAGTGGTGGCTCATGGGGTTTGAGAAAGTGTTTCCCTAAGACTATTCAAAGCATAAAAACTGTAGGAAGGGTGAGTTTAGCTGTAACCCTGCTTCCCTCTATAACTATAGCATTTTTTTAAAGGAGCTTCCTGAAGAAAATAAGCCCAAATAATGTTTTCCTATTGTTGTTTTCTTCCTCCGCTCTGCTTCAGCCTGTTGGCATCCCCCACACATTCCTCTCGTTGACTCAGACCCCTGGGAGAGGGAGCCTGAGAGGGACGGGTCGGGGCTGGCAGCTTGGCAGCACCGAGGTCCCTGCTGCCGTGCCAGCCACCGTCACCAGCAGTGATGGCCCAGCGTCACCAGGCAGGGCTGCAGCTCAGTGCCATCCCCGCTCCCCTCCATCCCACCCTCCGGAAAGGGGTGTAGGGGAGAAGTGTTGTCCAGAAATTGTTTTCCTTGTAGCTGCTCTTCCTTTTTTTCCCCTTTCAGAGTTATGAAATCAAGGGCACGAACTCTTCCAGCAGGGACCTAAGACCTTTTGTCACGAGTATCTGCGTGTCCTCAGCATAGGGAGTGATGGGGAAGAAGGGCTGAAGATGCCTGTCAAGGAGGAAGCAGAGAACAGCAAAGGGAGGAAAATCAGCTTCTCTTTGGCTGTTGCTGAGCTGGGATAGCTGCTGCCTGTGGCTCCTCTAACATCATCTGCAACCTCCTGCCTCCCAGCTTTGAGGAAGATCCTGCAGAACCTGTAGCTGGGAGCTACATCTTGGGAATGTCTTTGATTTCCTTCTTTTTCTTCTTCTTTGTTCTTCTTCTTCTTTCCCCCCAGGAAATCCAAATATTTCCCCCTCCACCCCAGGTAATCCTAAAATGAAGCCAAAAGGGGCTGAGAGGAACTATGGGACCACACAGCATCCGTGCAAAGCAGGTAACGGGCTGTGCTGCCAAAGCTTCGCTCCCCGTCCTCGCTCTGCAACTGCCCCAGCCTGCCTCTTGGTCCTCAGGAGCCACCGTGGTGTGACCAAGCAGTGTTTGTCACCTCTTGCTGGGGAAGGGCCTCCCCGCAGCGCTCCCACCTCCTCCCGCAGCTCCCAGCCTGATGCCTGGACACAGGGCAGCCTCCTCCCTCCCCTCCCATTCGCCCTGTGGCAGCCCCTTTTGCAATTCAGAAGAAAACCAGAGGAAAACCGCTTCTCTTAATTTCTATTTTGGCATTAGAAAGGCAAATAGCAATTCTCAGCAGACTGGACCCATTTGATTAAATTCCGAGCGGTGCCTGTGCAGTACTTGAGGTCACTCAGTGGCAAGCCAAAAAAATCCTGCTTTACTGAGAAATCTGGGAGATTTACTTTTCAGTCCCTGTAGCCCTCTGAGAATTTCAACTATTTTTTTATAAGAAAAAACCAAAACACTCCACTTTTCTGAATATGAATATACTGATTTGAAAACAAAGCCATAAACTATGAACTCCCCCATCCCTAGACCTTGGTGTCTGGGACACGGCCACGGCATTTTGGAAAGAAGGTCACTCTGTTTCACAAAGTGGATTTTTCATTAGTCAAGGCTGACAAAAAGCCTCTGGCCTGATTCTTATCATTCTCCTGGAGTTTCCAAGGGCATTCAGGGGATCATAAATAAAACAAGAGCCTTTAGGAAAGTTTGTTACAGAGGAAGTTTTTTAAGCTATGGTTGACCCCCAGAGGCATGAAGAGCACTGATAATTATATGGATACCTGAGTTTACGGAGTTAAGCCTCTAGTAAAGTCTGTGCTAGTGAAAGATGGAAAGGCAGGCCTTCACACACACCGACGACATGGATTCCCTACCATTGCCCTGCTGGAACAGATTTAAGCCAGCAGATAAGTGGCAGGAGGACTATTTAGCAAGCAGGGCAGCCTGTGGGGGAGGTGGGTACCTCTAGGGCAATTCAGAGCCCCACAGCGAGGGCTGCACCCCTCTTGGTGTACAATCCAGGTCACCCCACTTGCTGTTTGCAGCTCCTGATGCTGAGGGATGGTGAGGCACTGGGACAGGTTGCCCAGAGAAGTTGTGGATGTCCCATCCCTGGAGGTGTTCAAGGCCAGGCTGGATGGGGCTTTGAGAAACCTGCTCTAGTGGGAGGTGTCCCTGCCCATGGCAGGGGGGTTGGAACTGGATGATCTTTAGAGGTCCCTTCCAACCCAAACCATTCTATGATTCAGCAGGAACTGGTGTGGGGACACGCTGGCCCCAGCTTTGAGCACTTGTGATTTGAGATGGATGGACTGGGTGAGTGTTGAGCAGGGTGGGGGACCAGATGCAGCCTGCCCAGGGACAGAGCCTGGGATGTTCCTCTGCAGGTGCCCAGACCCCAGCCCAAAAACTGCATTGCCTGGGTAAACACCGGGGCCCCTGGAGCAGCAGTGAGGAAGCCATGCTTGCTCTTTCACGTTCACATTGGTCACCACATGTCTGGAAAGGTCAGCTCTGGAGGGTGGGAGTGAGCCTGACTCATCAGCCAGCACACCCTCCTGATGACAACTCTACATCTGGTGTAGATGCTGCTAAATGGCACACACAGGCTGAAGTCAAGAGCACTTTGTCCATTCCCTGCTGTGAGGCTTTCCTTGTCCAGCTCTGCCCTTCCTGCCACGGAGAGGAATTGCTCTGGGTTTGCCCACTGCCAGCTATTGCTTGGTGGTCTTCCCTGAGAAATGTAGGCTGCAAGGCCGGTTCTTTTGGGGCAGAAGGTGGCTTGGGACCAAAACTGCAACCTCCTCTCTGTGTGTTAACTGAGGCGTTGCTGCAGAAAAAGCCCTGCCAGCACCTACAGCAGAGCTTTGGAGAGAGAATTACTTCAGCTGGCTGTGGTCAGTGCTCGGCAGAGTCTGACTGGAGCAGCTTCTCTGGGAATTTCAGCCCCGTCCCAGCCATCTTCAAATCCCGGGGGAGAGGAGCTGGGAGGGGAGCACCACAAACCACGGTGCTTCTTAGCAACTATGGGAGTTTGTGATGAAGCTCCTGGTGGACTTGGTGCTCCCTGACGTGTGGATGCCCACAGTGTGCTGAAGGAGCGGTTCCCCACGTCGTGGACAGCCGTGTTCATCCTGCTGAGAAACCTGGCTCTCTCCAACGCAGAATTTGGAGCCAGGTGGAGCAGTGCTTCAGGCAAAGGACAAATTTTTTTTTTTTTTTTCCTTTTAGGCCCATAGAGTAAGCAGAAAATCATCCCGTGCTGCAGATGTTTTTGCATGCTCCTCCTCTGCAAATATACCTGCATCCAAGGTCTGGGCTGCGGCTTCTCTGTGCCAAGAGTAGTCCACAAACAGCACCCGCTGCCCTTCTGTACTGAGACTGAATGCCCTGAAATAAGCAACCAACAAAAATAGGGGAAGAGAAAAAGAAGCAGCCTGATCAGAGGGAATGTCAGCTGATAAAGTAACAAATCTATTTGCTAATGTAACTTTTATAACCCCTGAGAAACTCAGCCAAAAATCAAGCAATTCCCTTGCCTTGCTTTGGTGCCAAGTGACTTTCAATCTGCACCATCTATATTAGCTCGCATGAAAGTCTCTTGCTACTGCTGTGTCGACAGAAGAATTTTAAAGCCCAACTACCTTGCTGTTTTAAATTTTAATTACTGGTGCATTTACTGGTGTGGCTGGCAGAAAGCACGAGCCTGCACGGCTTGCTTTTGTTCTTCAGTTTTCTTTATTTGGATGTTTTAATATTATTTCTTTCTGCAACTGGTGACACTGATGATGGTCATCTTTATTTCAGCTGAAATATGCATGTCTTCAAACCTGTTGGAGAGCCTTCAGACAGGCTGAGTGGCTTCTCCTCTTGGATCCCCTGTGTGCCACCCGCCACAACCTGGTGTCACCACCCCAGCGGGAGGTGACGTGAGTTATGGTTTGTCTGGTCAGGAGTAACCATATGTGGTCAGCAGGGATGGATTTATAACCCCGTGCCTTCGGTCCTCAGTGCTTAACGGAGCTAAAATACCTCACTGCAGCTGATGTGAGAGTTGTCGTGGCCCCCTGCGTCCCACTGGAGACTCTTCCAGTCGGGTTTGGCCCCTTTTATATGGTGCTGGGCACAGCTTTGCCAGCATTTATGTGCCGTTCATAAACATCCCGTAGGAACAAAAGAACAGGTAGGGTATGTGCAAAAGGATATACCAGCACTTCCTATAAAAATGCTAATGCTGCTTCAGGCCTCTTGAGGGTGTTCGGCGATGTGCAATAAATTACTTTTATGTGGCTTTGTGCGCAGTTGTGGATTTAACACTGTTTTCAAGGAGCAAGAAGTGTCTCTATAATCACAGTCGAGGAGATGGAATAAAAACCTTTCCAGCCAGCAAGCATAAAGATAGCTGGCCTTTACCTTTTGAATCTTCCTAATAATGTTCGAAATCCAGTTAAACCTCTATACCCAGGAGAAAACTAGCACAAATAATGACAGAGAGATTGATGCTAATGCTAGGCAGGGGAGGGAGCCTCTGTCTCTTCAAACACATTTAGTTACCCTTCCTTCTGTAATAATCAAAGGAATGCTCTAAAAATGTTAGATTATTAGAGGTAAGCTCATCTCCTTATTTGTTATTTGTGATACTTTGCTCCAGTATAATGAATGTAAGGGATGAGCTGCTGTTTCTGCCAGATCTCATGGGTCTACCCCCATGAAGCGTTGGAAGCAAATTGCTCTTCATTCGCAAATTGGAAGTGGAAGAGGTCGATGGGCAGAAAGCTGTTAATAGGTCAGAAAGAATGAGCTGAGTTCTAGAAAGCCAACTAGAGCTGGGGTCCAGAATTTAAGTGGAAAGCCCAGGTCCCCTTCTCTTCCAGGCCAGCCCCCACGATGGGGTGGATGAAGTCAGGTCTCTGGGGTGTCATCAGGAGATGCTCCTGCACAGATCCTGAGAGTCTGATTTGCAAGAAGGTAAGTGCTTAGCTAGTAATTTTGTAATTTTGTTTATTTCTGATTCAAAAGACAAAAGTTCCCTTACAGAAAATGAACTGTGCTGGGATTCAAGCTACTGCTGTCATTGGCAAGGGATGGATGGGAGCTCCTTCCTACGCCCTGCGGTGGGACTGCCCCAGGAGGGATGGATGCTCAGGAGGAGCTAATGAGCATTTCAGACTAGCAGGCACCATCAGGTCAACTGATGAACCAGGCTGGACTCTAGTATTGGTGAGGGATGTCCACTACTGCTGCGACACCTCATCAGCAGGGGGAAATCCCACCAAAGCTGTTGGTCGCATGTGCCAGTCATTGCCTGCCTTCACATCGCTCCCTGGTCTGGCTCTGGGCCACTGACTTTTCTACCAGGGACTGAAGAAGTCCCTGGGACTTGTTTTTACCCTTGAATATGGGTGGCTGGCCAAAAATGTGGGATCTTGCTGTGCTCTAGTGAGGAGAGATTGCCAAAGGAGTGAAGTATTTTTGGTTCAGCCTGGATTTGTTTACAGATATATTCCAAGGCCTGTTTTGGGGGTAGGCTATTTGTGCAGCCCTTGCTGGGATCTCCCTGCACAGGCTTTTCCTGGCTGCATTGCAATCCCACTTCCACAGCAGGCTGCAGGCACCCCGGGAGGGGAGGCTGAGTGGACTCCCGGTGTGGTACCCAACCCTGCGGCCACACAAAGCGAGTACCCGGGAGCAGGAAACTTCCTCTTCTCATCACTAACGTCCCCAGGTGGGCCAGCGCTGAAGGAGCTTGGCAACACCGAGGGTGCAAAACCTGGAAAGTGCTGGAGGAGCATCCCTGCCCTGTCCCTGCCCAAGAGCCAGGAGGATGAGTGCCAGTTCCCAGGAGGTCCCAGGAAGGCAGGGCTCAAGCCACAGGAGCAGGACCCCAGCCCCCGGGACACGGGCAGCCTGTACAAAGCTCTGTCAGGAGCTGGTGGGATGCCCAGCCCCAGGGGCCACAGCCTGGGCAGTGCTTACCCATGTATTTACTGCTCCTCCCTTTGTGCTGACCCTCTGCCATGTCGTGGCTCTGTTTGCTGGGGACAGTAAGCACACAGAAATGGTTGAACAATACTACAGTACAGGCACTGCTCCTACTCCTTTACTGGCTGCTCTGGGGAGTAACCAGTGAGTGCTTCCCCCAGTGTTTCGGTGCTTTAATCTAATGTGAAGTGTCATTCTTTGTGTTCACTTCGCATTCCCCTCCCAGGAGAAACCCACCACGGTATCGGGAAGCCAGCTGCACCGCATTTGAAATGTCATCGTGCTAATCGGGCACCCAATCTAGACTGGAAGGCTTGGAGTTTATGTGGGCCAGTCCCTTGGGCTATTTTTAAATATTGAGGTCAGGATCCCATTACGCTGGTGCATTAATATCCATAAATCTCTGCGGGTGACAGCCCTGGGTTTTGAGCGAGGTGCCTGGCTCTCTAGGGACACCGAGCAGCCAAGGAAGGGGCATGGGGACATGGTTGGGGAAGGCGAATTTTTGACACTTTCCCCAAGATGATAGAGTTTTGCGCTTGCAGCCCCGCAGGCACAGGCCTCTCTGCATGCTGTGTGTGTGCACCTGGCTCCGAGCAGGAACACTCACTCCTGGGCCTATAAATATCTCTCCATTTCTCCAAGGGAATGAGCTTTGCGGGTGTCTACGGTAACGGTGCAGTTCTGCTGTGTGCAGTTACTGCCCAGGGAATTTAGTGGGAATAGAAAGTGCTGAGGACCTGCCCTGAATGGACCCCAAGTGCTGGCATTTTTATTTCTTCCTCTCTTTCATGTCCTGCAGCCTTACTGTATTTCATGGTCAGCAAAACCCCCGTAAGGCTGCACGACTGGTAGCTGCTACATTCTGCCTTTATTGCCCGCTGCAGAGCATGCTGGTTTCAGTCATTCTCTTCTGCTGCCTCCCCACCGAAGGATCCTCCTTGATTTGAATGATTTCTCTGCACGTGCTCCTTACTCCCAGCTTGTTCTCACACCTCACATCTGTTACCCCAGCCACCTCTACTGCATCCTGCAGATTATGCTGATATCTAAGCATTTCTAGCAGGTGACCAAAAGAGAGGGAGAAGCCAAGACACTCACAGAACAGTGGGAGCTGCTGCTCAGTGTGGATGTCACTGCTGGTTTAAGCAAGAGGCAACAGGCTCTGCAGCAACTTGGGGATGCTCTGGTGGGGTCTGTGCCCAGGCTCGAGTGTCTTCAGTGCGCCTGCTTGGCCCCAAACCCTCCTCTTCTCTGTCCCTTTTCTGTTCCCTGCAGGAGCACGGAGCCTTCCCTCCCTGCTCACAAGTTCTGGGCTCCAGCTGGGGTCTGTCCTGGTGGCAGCTCTTTGCCCTCTCGCTGGGCTGTGAGCTTGCTGTGAGCTCTCCTGGTGTCTCTGCCCTCCCGATGACATAGCTTTTTTAAATTATAGCATTATTGTCCCTTGCAGGCCTTTAAAGACCACATGCAACACCCCATATTAGGCACCAGCATGAGTGACCAAAGAGCTGAGAGACCTTCTATAATTTGTAACTAATGTTGAAATCAAGAAGGACAATTACATGGGCGTGGTTTCACCTACACGTAATAGAGCAATCGAGAGGATAACCTCAGGGACAGCAAAGCTTTTTTTCACCTAGACTGGGATTTCAGCCCTAGCAAAGGGCTCCATCTTTCAAGAGAAGAAGAAACCCCCATACATCACTTGTCAAAAGAAAGGCCTGACCTACAGCAACTGAAGTGGAGGGGGATATATGGGATGGCAGTGGGGATTAGAAAACAGCCAGAGATGGAAAAATGACTGTTTATTCAAGGGAGCAGGGAAGGGACCCACAGGGTGAAAGAGGAGGATCAAGGGCAGTGCCCCACGCTCGTGGAGGTGGCAGCTTCTCGACCGTCACACGAGCGTGCTGGAAGGATCCGCTTAGTCCTAACCTAAATCCAGTGCACGATTATTAATGAGGTGGCAAGTGCAGGATCCAGGGTGACAACAAATCCACCAAGTCTTCCCTACAGAGGCAGACCCGAAGCCGTGAGTCCTGCTCTCTGAACCCTTAGTGCTTTCTCCAGGGAAAATGACAGAAGACAGGCTCGGGATGTTTATCTAAGAGACGGGAGGTGCCAAACGGCTTAGCAGGGAGAATGGTTAAATTTAACCGTGGGCACAAATCAAAGGGGTGGATGAAGGGGAGGTGCAGCGGAGGGCAGCCCCACATGGCTGGCCTGATGATGGCTGCCTCGCTGTGCGGGGCTGGGAGGATGAGGAGGGGAGGTGTGAAGGGGGGGGCTGGACCCCACCTCAGGCAGCAGCTTGATCCTTTGCAGGAGCATCCCTCCCGTGCCAACGCTGCCCGCAGAGAGAGCGGGAGGCCCACACAGCACTGCCTGGCTGTAGGAAATCCCCTAGAAGCCCATGACCGCAGAGATGCCCGGAGCCAGCATCCTCAGGTGACCTCCTGTTACAAATTCCCTGGGGCTCTGGCTATTTATAAATGCCCCGATAAGGCTAGAGTTCAAGAATGCACTAACGTTTATATTTACAGAGCCAAGTCACCCTCTCAACCACCTTCGTCATGCCAGGGAATTCAGAGAGGGTATTTGCTATATGAGGATGGTCAAAATTGGCCCCCCAAATAATTTGGTGCAACAATATGCTGAAGAACACATTAACACCCTGAAATCCCTCTCGAGGCTAATAGCTGTGGCAGGGCTGGGCTGCTGAAGCAAATGAATCTTGTTTCTTCTCCCCGGGGGAATAGCTGCAGGATCGAAGGTCAATACAATGTAGTGCAGAAACCTGATGTGATGGTGGTGTGTCGCGAGGGCTCCTGCATGCCCAGGGCCACAAGCCACAGCTCTAACTCTTGCCCTCCTCTCCATTTGCTATTAACACTGCAAACAGGATGCCAGCTGCAGCACACGCCAGCCTGAGTGCTTTGGAACACCACCTTGGGTGGGTTGGCTTTTACAGAAGACAGAAGTTATACAGTGGTGAACTATATATAAAAAAAATAATAAATCTGCCACCTAGTGGCAAAGGAATTTCTTTTAGGGAGATGCTGATGTGAGCACATCTTGCTGAGCTAATGGTAATTTTCTAGTTATTTTCACTTAGCAAACTCTCATCTAAGTGGTATTTGGAGGGTACAAATTTTGAGAGCGCTTTGGGGTATGTCCCAGTGTATTTACAGGATGTAGGTATTCACAAAACTAAGTGACTATTTGAGTGATTTGCTTGATTATGGAAAAGGTCCTAAAGATGCTCCTACAAGCCCAGACTAGCATTTCACGGGATATAAAGTGAATTAAAAATTTTCTTCAGAATGCTCCCTAAGATGTGCCTCTCACCCTGCAAGTCCTCTTTGAATTTAAACTGTAGGAGTCCTAATCAGTGGGGGAAAAATGGCTATTTGTGGCTCATAACTGTAAGAAAAAAATGAAACCAAGCAATTTTTTCCTAAATCTTCCTTTAATAACTGAAGTGTGCTTCCCCCTGGATGTTTCTTCATGTCCCCCGGGCTGTCACACCAACCTTCTCCACATCTGCAGCATGAGGAGGAGCAGCACAGGCTGCCTGCCCAGATTGCAACCTGCCAAGGGGGGACCCTTCAGCGAGCTGTAGAGCTGAGGGCGAAAGGACCATCCGGCTGGAGAACCTCATGCAATGCATCATCAGAAAGGTACAGGGGCCTTTCTGTCTTGGGAAGAGCATTTCTGCCTCCATATACTGTATTGGTGGGGTGGAGAGGGACTTACTGCAGCCAGTCCTGGTGGCCACCTTTTCTGAGGGCACCGAAAACTTGGACAAGGTGGCAAGAAAGAGCTGAAAATGTTAAAGAGTTGGACAACAGGTCTTGCAATGAGAAACTTCAGAATTTCAAGATTGAAAAGTGACTTGCTTGCAACGTAGGAGAAGTTCATAGCTGTTACTGAGTTACCACAAAGTCAGCTTCTGAGGGCTTTTGTCATCTGGCAGAGGAGAAAAAAAAAATAAAGAAGTGATGATGCCAGACAATCTGATGTTAGTTAAAAGGGATGACATGTAATTACAAGGAAATGACCAATTGGAGCAATATACAAAGAGAGTTGCGGGAGTTTATCTCCTGAAGTTTTCAAACAAAGACTAGATGCCGTCCTGGAAGTTAGACTTTGGGCAGTTTATTTGTGGTAGAAGATAACATGACAGGAGATCAGGCCAGATGATCTGACAGTGCCTTCTAGTCTTGAAATCTGGGAGTTAACTCACATCTTTCAATAAAGTCTCACTGCTCAAGAGTGTAATTTGGTGTTAGGAGCTTAATTTAGGAACAAAGTGTGAAGAGGATGTGTTAAAGGATGAGCAATAGGAGGAGAGCAGTCATAGCCAGCCCTGTGATCGCTGCAGGACTCGAGACACTCTGCAAGTCTGAAGTCATGGGTGGATGGGAGGTGTTGAAATACAGTTTCTCCTCTGCACGCTTGGACAGCTTCTGTAGAAATAGTTACAAAGTGAGAAGACTGTATCCCAAAGGGGTTTCAGTTTTAGTACTCAGTGGGTTGCTTCATAAGAAGGTGGTCTTCTCCAGGGGTCTGTAGCATCCCCTGTCCCTGCCATCTGCTCTCACAGGAGGCTCCCTTGCAGCCTCCTGGTTGAGGTATGGCTTATTTCCTAATGTTCTCAACCAACAGCAGCAGAATCAGGCGACCTTTCAATTTAAAAAGGGGGTTTATAAGAAAAATTGAGAGAGACTATATACCAAGGCCTGTAGTGACAGGACAAGGGGTTTTAAACTAAAAGAAGGTAAATTTAGATTGGATATAAGGAAGAACAATTTTTTTATGAGAGTGGTGGGACACTGGCACAGGTTGCCCAGAGAAGCTGTGGATGCCCCATCCCTGGAAGTTTTCAAGGTCAGGCTGGATGGGGCTTCAAGCAACCTGGTCTGGTGGGAGGTGTCCCTGCCCATGGCAGGGGGATTGGACTGGATGATCTTCAGAGGTCATTTCCAACCCAAACCATTCCATGGCTCTACGGTTCTGTACTGACCCAGCTGCACGCCAAGCTCATAAAGCTTAACATTTGTTATCAGCTAGCTCTCAAGTGCTAGCTGGATGCTGAAAACATGCCCGAAGCAGCTCATTTCTTGCATAGAAGTTAAATTACTGAGCTGGTTACAGCCAAGCCAAACTGATCCTCAACTGTTTGCCGGGACATTTGACTGCAGGAGCTGTTTCATGGTGCTGGTGACTTGGGGGAGATACTTGTAGTGAGCTGCCTAAAGTGGCTGGGCTCACTCGAGAGGAGGCCAAAGTGCTTATGACTTCTCCAGCCTGGTCCAAATGGCACCAAATCGATGCAGGGGGCTGCTCTGAGTCCTTTGAATGCATGGACAGGAACGGTTTTGCTTCACATGGGAGGAAAGGAACAGGGGGTTGTGGAACCAGGGGTCTCCCCCAGCTGTGGTGCCCACAGACGTTGACTTTGTAACCTGTCCCCTCTGATTTCACCACCTTCATATCATGAATATAAGTTGTGAAAGTGGGGCTGGCTGTTTGCAGGCTGAAAATAAAGGACTGGCTTTGTTTTCTCTAGGCATGAGTGTTTGCAGGGACATACCCCCATTACAGCAGTGGGTGGGAGCCCTCAGTGCCGGGACCCCCTCAGCTGCCACAGGTGTGTTGCCTCAGCAGCACGGGGGTCCTGTGAGGGCTGGGGTCCCCCCGTGTGACAGATGACAGCTACATTTCTCAGCCAGGCTAATGGCAGGTGGACAACTTGCCACTTCTGAGGGGTTTCAAGCGGGCAGCACACCTGCCCACCCTCTCCCCTGCAGGTTAGTTAATGTCAGAGGTTCTTTTCTGCAACAGCACAACCTCAAGCATTGTGCTCCCCACCAGAAAATCTGCTACAGGGGAGCGTGCCACCAAAAAATGTGGGAACCTTCCTCCCCCTGACCCCTGGGGGCTGAAGAAGCCTGAAGCAGGTGGTGCTCACTGGAGAAACGGCTTGCCCAGGTGGCTCACAAATGCAGGTGTCAGGTATATTTTATTTCTGCAGAGAAAACAAACCCCGCTTCCCCCAGGAGTGGCTGCCCGAGTGCTGAGGCCAGGGCAGCAAATACAGTCCCCCTGTCTGGCTGTCCTTTGGTGTCACCCCCATCCTACCAGTCCCTGTGCTCGGGGAGAGCAAGGGCTGTGGCTACGTGAGGTCCCACTTTGGACCTTAAATGCATTCATTATCTTGAAGAAATTATATGGACAATTCTCCCTCCTCTTCCAACACGAGAAACGTTTTCTTATTAGTTTGGAGCTATTGATTCCTACAGCAGGAAACACTTTAGTCATCCCCTGCTCTGCTGGTGAGCGCTCTACCACAGTTCCAGCGTCTTCTAAGGAAAAGCTCTCTGTCCTTCAACCCTGGCTCTTCCCGGCCAGGCAGCCTCTGCAAGAACCAAACCAAGGACACAACAGGCACAGCTCAGGGTTTGTTGTTTGGGGTTTTTTTGGGGTGGGTGGGTGGTGGTCTTCCCTTCAAGCTGCTCATTATCAAGGTTTTCTTCTTAGAATTATCTTGCAGCTCAAATGGAAGCGGTGGGCTTGAGAGAAGGATCCTCATAGAAATGTGATTGATTGATCATAAATGGTGCCTCTCAGCTTTTAAAATCCGTGAGATTGTATGAACAGCAATCCCCAACCTGAACCACGCTGCCTCCAGCCATGCCTTTGGAACCCAGCAAGTGACCGCAGGCAAGTACGCCCAAAACCATCTTGGCATTTTCCTGTTAGTATCCCCCCACCACCACCTTTTTTCCCACCAATTCTCTTCAAACTGAGGCTCACACACATCTGCTTGGAGTGCTGTCTTTTATTTCTAAAGAGTCCCGAGGAGCTGCTGGCACACAGTTGGTGGGACAGACCTACAGCTGATGGGGACGTGGCAGAGGATGTGTCCCCGTGCCCGGGTGCTGCTCTCTGCTGGGGCTCAGGGCCTTGGGAGACAAGGGTGGTGCTTGTGTTCCGTTTTGATCTTCAGGACGTTATTGCATCCCAGTGAGTAGGTCACCTCGTCCTCACTCACCCCCGGCGGCAGGCTGATATCCTTCTTGATGTTTTTGTAGTTGTAGACCTTCCCCCTCGAGGTGGTGCGTTCCTCCTCATGCTCTGCTAACACCTTCACCTTCCCATCTTCCACCGTTACAGTGACTTCCTCGGGGGCAAAACCTTCCACATCCACCAAAGCCAAAACTTTGTCATCACAGGAAGAGTCCAACACCCTGTTGAGTTTTCTTTGCATGCTGGAATAAAAATAAGAGGACAGCCTTTCAGTCCAACTCACAGAGGAATGGGTGGACCACCTTAAGGACAGGAGAGGTAAATAGGAAACTATGGGATCCATCTTTATGCTAAGGCACAGCACTTGAGATGGTGTCTGCGTCGTGGGAAGGAGCTCCCACCTGCATTCCACAGCAGTCAGGAGTATTTTAGTGTCCCCTCTTGGGATAAGGCAATGGCGGAGCTGAAAATTTCTTTCACCTGAATATAGAGAAGCCAGTGCTCCTCTTTCACACGTACACACACCCGGGAAGCCCTGTGTGTCCATCTTATGCCCTGCCCTACATTTTAAATGGATAGTTACAACAGATCACATTTTTCAGTTAGGAGCTTTTTTTAAAGCAATCAGCGGATAGGAGACACATCTGGCAGAAAAAAAACACCCAAAATGTTCCTTCAGAGCTGGGCTGGAGGCTCACTGAGCCATTAAAATGATTTCTAATGCTGTCAAACAGCAACTCTGCTCTTACTCAAAACCATTTGTAAAGTAGACAATGGAAGGGTCATCATAATAGCTAAATTGGACATGAGGTACCAAATTAAAAAGATAATGGGTGTGATGGAAGAGGAAATAGGGCAAGCAATGAGGGAACGGGCATGACCACTAAGCTGAGAAATCCCTAACGAGTGGTTCATTAGGAAGGTACACCCATTTCAGCAATCCTACTTAAAGCCTGCAACGATTCAGCCTGGTGTGATGATTTTGGGATGTATTTTTTGTGCTCTGTGAGAGCTGGTTCCTTCACCTACCCCTTTGGGGTTTTCTTATATCGCTGGTTAGAGGAGAATAAATGTGCTGGGAAGAGCTGGTCCTTCCCAGAATTTTTTTGTGGGAAGGGGATGGCTGAATTCCCTGGTGCGATGGGCTGAAACCCTGCTGTGGTGTGGTTTCAGGCAGGAGCAGTGTGGACTTGTGTTCAAACCAGCAAGTTGTCCCAAGCATGGCAGGGCCAGGGAGCCTGGCACTCAGGGAGACTGTGCTGCCATCCCACGGCCCTTCCTGAGACCTCCTAGCTTCCATTTGGACTGAATTTCCGTTCTTTCACTGGGATTTTGGTGTGCAGTGATTCTGCAAGTGATGCTACACCCACCCAGCTCCGGTACCCAGCGCACCGATGACAATCTGGACACAGACACCAGTCCTGTAACACCTGGGATTGGAAATCTGCTGCTGGACAGTCCTGCCTGAGCTGCAGTTACCAGGTAAGTTTACTCACAGCAACTTTTGGTTTTCCTGAGGTCAGTGTAAAATTAACCTGCGGCCAGGCCTTTTGTTCCTTTTTTCTCTAACTTTATTGCACCCAGTAGGAGACGCACGTGGCAGACAGTGCGATGACACTTGCTGCTCTCTGGGTAACAAAAATGTCACATTTTTAATTGCCAAGATGAAGGTCTCATCATCTGCACGTGCAACATGAGGACTCAGACAGAAGCTTGAGTTTGGGGAGAAAATACCAATGCCACAGATACAGCAAGAGACTTCCACCGTTGCTGGTGACCTTCTGGTTTCTCAGTGTTCAGTTGTGTCTTAACGCAAATGGTGCGGTTTTATCATTCGAAAACTCCCTACCTATAGGGTACCTTTGGGTTTTTACTAGAGTCAGTCTTGAACTCCTTAACAAAATGAAATCGTCACACCAGTGGTCAAAATGGAGGTGTAGAAATCCTGGCACTTATTTTCCCACCTCGTACAGTCGGAGGAATAGGGACACAGGTCTGTGGTGTGTCAGTGCAGCATCCCACTGCATACAGGTGCATTTTAGTTACTGATTAAGACAATTATGTGTTTAAAAGACTTAAACTGAATTTACATTGAAGATGGGCTTTTTTGAACGCCTTTGGATCTAGTCGCCTACTTTAGATGCAGTTTGAGATGATTAACATCACAACACCATAGTTCAAACCCTTTCCAGCACAGGAGCTGCCTGGCTGAACAAGCTGTGCCTTCCCATCCCCCTTTCCACTATTTTTTCCCAAAACAGCTATTTCTCTCCCACCCCACTTATCCATTTCCACCTCTGCTCCTGACACTGGTACCAACCCCCCCCTTCATCCTGCCTTAGGGGATGCTGACGCCTGTAGAAAGCGGGCAAAGATCTGCTACCTGCTGAATTCTCGCTGCAAGTCCAGCCCCGCGGCCAGGGCCCTTCTGTCCAAGGGGCAGAGGAGGTCAGGCAGGTGTGGGCAGCATGGGGACCATGGGCAGGAGAGGGGCAGCTCCTCGTGGAGCTGCTGCAGCTGCTGCCGCAGGTTCCTCATTTTCCTCCACACCTCCCTCTCCACCTGCCTCAGATTCCGCTCGGCGACCTCCAGAAGGTGCTCGTCCAAGGAGGACATGGTGCTGCAAAGCACATCAGGGTGTGAGCCTGCACTCGCCACGGGGGGGGTGCGGAAAAAAAAATTGCCTCGAGAGCTTGGTCTGGAGGGTGAGAGTGTGTGAGCAGGGCCAAGGGGGCTCTTGCAGCCCTTCCAGCAGGACCTTGTGATGTCAGAGCTCCGCAGTTGCCGTGGGAAGCACAGCCCAGGTCTGCACCCCACCACGGCAGCTCCCACCCATCGAGCAGGGATCCCCTGGGTGGGGGGACACATGGTGGGGACCTTGGGGCAGGTACATGACCACGTAGCGGAGCTGCTGGCCATCAGGAGCACAACTTGGGTGCTATTTCATGCACGACATTGCTGCCCACACCATCCCCACCCTCTCCTGCCCTGGCACACCAGCGCAGAGGAACACCAACTGGGCATGTTTAGTTTGGAGAAGAGGCAGCTGAGGGGGGGACCTCATTGCCCTCTACAACTCCCTGGAAGGAGGGTAGAGAGGTGGGGGTTGGCCTCTTCTCCCAAGTGAATAATGACAGGACCAGAGGAAACGGTCTGAAGTCGCAGCAGGCGAGGCTTAGATTAGATATTAGGAAGAATTACCTTACTGAGAGGGTGGTCAGGCACTGGAACAGCCTGCCCAGGGAGGTGGGGGAGTCACCATCCCTGGAGATACTGAAGAAATGTGTAGACATGGCTCTTCAGGGCATGCTCTAGTGCTCGGGATTCTTGGTTTTCGTCTCTCTTTGGGTGGGTATGGTGTAGGGGGGTGGTTTGTTTTTTTGGTTGGTTGAGTGGGGTTTTTTTTGTTTGTTTTGTTGGGTTTTTTTGATGGTTGGACTCAATGATCTCAAAGGTCCCTTCCAACCATGAAGATTCTGTGAGCCATCTCTGCTCCCAGGCAGAAATCCCCACGGACCAAAGTCTAGGTCTCCACTCAAGCTTCTAAGCGGTGGCCTCCTCTTAAATCTTGTGGGAATTCCCACTCCCAGGTCCCGATGGCAGCTGCCTTGGGGAAGGGAGACGCGCGCCGGGCAGCGGGCTGCTGCCAACCTGCAGCCTTCCCTTCCTCGCTGGTTTGCTGCTGTTCACCACAGCCCTGCAGAACATGTCTGCATTGAGGAGAGCTACAATTGCTCTTTGTGGGTTTCTTCTCCTCCTTTGCACAAGGTGTCGGATGTGAGATGCCCTCATATGTGTCTTTTTGCAGCACAGGCTGCCGTGGCATTACTCGAAGGCCACCAGAAGCCTTGGTCTGATCTGTGTCAGGCTGGTGTGCGGGGTGCTGGCACCCTGGGGAGCACCAATGGCACCCTGGGGAGTGCCAGGGAAAGGCGAGGAATTCCTGCACAGCTGCTCCCCGGCGGAGCACCCTGCCTCCCTGTCCTGCTGGATCTCTGCTCCCGAGGTTTTCACCAGTGGCTACACGTTTCAGATGTGGCTTCAAACCTGTCACTCCCTCTGCCTCCCAGCTCTCTGCCATTTTTTTAATTTATTTTTTTTTTTAATGGGAAAGGAACGGCAAATGGTTGAAAATGTGCAGAGATGGAGGATTCTCTTTACATCCCTTACCTGACAGCTGCCTTAAGGTACTTCTGGGAACACTCTGAGAACATGCACCTTCAAAATCCCTTTTGTCCCTGGTTTCACACCATACTAAGCAAACATGCTAAGAAAAGCAGACCCAGGTATTTGTGTCTTCCCCCCTCTTCGCCTTACAGATGTTATTCCACAGCTTTCACCTGCCTGTGTGTCAGAAGGAGGTGCTGCCTTGGCAAGAGTGGGCAACAGGGGGATTTTTGCCGATGGGAGACAGCGAAAAGGATGTTGCATCCTGCAATTACTATGCAGAGAAGGAGACATGTGGAACATGTGCTGCACGTACTGCTGCAAGCACTTCTCTGAGCTGACAGTTTTACCTCCACAGACTCCATGTAGGCTGGGTACTGCCTGCTTTGTCAGCGAGCGTGGGCAGAGGTGCTGCAGCCATCAGCTCCCCCTCCAAGGACTTCTGAAGCCGTCGTGTCCTGTCAGGCTGTTGCATCATTTTTTCTTGAGAATGACCCATGTGGGTTTCAGTGTCGGCGATGCTCACAGCATGGATGGGTTTGCCTGGCTCCCTGAAAGGCACCTGTGGGGTACTCTCATCACAAGCAGCATTTATACCAAAACCTCCCGAGTCTAATACTGCTGGAAAAACCAAGAGAAGACTACAGGAGTGGGGAGTACCTTGCATTTTGGGTAAATACAGTCTCTAAGGGCTTGCAATGGACCGTGTGTCAGTGGAAATGCTTAGTCCCTGTGTATTTAAGAGAGCAGGAGAAGACCCCCCAAGAAGCCTGGGAGCTGCTCTACGCTGCTGGCACCTTCCCATGGAGGAAGCGCCTTCCACAATTATTAGCTGTATCTAAAATTTGCCCAAGTAGCCCCAAGAAAATATCCCCTGCAGTGTCCAAGAAGGCAAAGCTGAGCTGGCCTCGGGGACTGCTCCCGTGGGGCTTCCTGCTGGAAGGAGGAAGCCTGCTCCCACCTGGAGGGAGCCATGTGGGCTGGGGCTGAGCGGGGAGTGCAAAAGGGGGATGCCAAGAACCACAAAGGGGAGCGGGTCACACCTCAGGTTGGACAGAAATACATGAGGCTTCCTGTTGGACATCACTTACATTCAAACATATGCAAGAAGAAGTTCAAACATTCAAATAAAACTTTACATACCTAATTACATTTACATATACCCACAATTAAAATCCTTTGTTAAAAGCCAAATGCTTAATACGTACTTACAAGACAAAATTTCTTAACAACCTCTAATTCCCAGCAATGGTACTCACCACCAGCTTCCGTCCTATCACCTCTGATAAGTGCTGTAGCCCAAGACATGAGCCACGCTTCCTCAGACCTGCCTGTGACATAAAAGCTAATCCCAGCCTCAGCAGCACCAACAGCCTCGTGGCTCAGGCAGCTGCAAACTGGTGAGCTGGATGATGGATGATGTGCTATTCTCCCAAGGCGAAATATGAGTTTGGCTTTTCAATAAATCAAAAGAGACAGCTTATTTTATATTGAACAGTAGTTTCATCCAGGAAAAAAAAAAAAAAAAAAAAAAAAAGCCAGCTTTATACTTTTTTACTCAAAAAAG